TGGGATCCACATTCGGTCTCTCCTTTCTATATATTTTCTAAACTTTATTTTAATTTTGATTCTTGTTTTAGTTTCCCCCCTAATTAAAACTTCATTATCCTTAGATTTATATAACAACAATAAATAGTGATACGTTTGATTATTAGTCTTTGTGGGTACGGTATCTTTTAAAACTACACGATACAATTGTGCACTTGTAGTTAACCTGATAGACTCGCGGAGTCGCGATCAATTCTATTTGTGTTCCCTTCTTTCCATTTTTGATTCTTTGAATCATGCTTCAATTTAGTTGTCTTGATTTATACTGAAAAATGGAAAGAGAGTCATGAATTTGGTTGTGAATTTACTTATTTTTCTTTTTCGGTTTTCTGAGAAAGAAGAATAGCAACGTCGAGAGAGAAGGGATTCACTTTTACTCTTTATTTCTCCTTTTAATATGTTATTATTTATTATTATTATTATTGATAGTTGCGACATGTCATTGAGTGTGTGGCTGAATTGAAAAGTAACATGGAAGGATCCTGTGCAGATCCCCCATTGGATCTACCATGGACCCTCACCTTATGATCATAGGATTAGGATCTTATGGACCAATTTTTTTGGGTTCTAAGCCCAAATATGAGCCCTTTGGTTCATACAACGGTCCAACTTTTGGCCATTTTTTTAGTTCTTTTTGTTTGATTGGTTTAGTAGGCTCAACAAAAATGGACTCTATTTATTTCTGCTTCATAACGTCTTTATTTTCTTTTGCACCCCCTCTGCTTTTGTTTACTTTTATTATTTTCTTGAATATTGGGCTTTAAACCCATTTATTATTTTTTACTCTTGTATTGATAGTCCACCCCCTCCCTTTTTACTTTATCTTTTATGTTGTTTTATTTTATTTTTATTAGTTAATTGTTTAATTGATAAATGCTAATAAAATTAAAAGCTATCAAAATCAACCTTCCTTACAACACGAATCATACTACTTGATCAACATCAAGTCTTTTGCAAACTTAATCAAAAGCGCTTTGAAATATTTTTCATAATAAACAATTAGATGAAAAAAGATTAGTTGGACGTAATTATCCATCATAGTCCCCCCGAGTATTTTAATGATGGTTGTAATTAGTCTACTGTTCGAGTATTCGTCTTCCATTCAAAACACAATAAATATATGAATCTAGTTCATTCTTTAGTGGATGAAAAAGGATTAGTTGGACTAAATTATCCATCCTAGTCCTGAGTATTTGGATATTGCCCGTAATTAACCTATCGTTTAAATACTTATCTTGCGTTAAGGAATTGCAACTTAATTTGCCTCACCAACTTCATAAATAACTTGGACGTAAAAGGATTAGTTGGAACTAATTATCTATCATAGTTCCTTATTATTTTGATGATGATCATAATTAGTCTATCGTTCGAATACTCGTCATCCACACACAAAAAACTCAATCGATCAAATCAACTTTTTACACCTTAGTGCGGCCACAAATGTTTTCACAACCGAACAATGTTTTATCAATTCTACCGCTATACAAACAAACATTTAAGCCTCTCGCGCGTGAGCATACGAACAACGTTTAATTGCTAGAATGTGACGTAAACATCGTTCACTAAAATCAACCAACACATATGTGGTTTTTATACAAAGAAGTACGTAGCTTTGGATTTTTCATCGCACCTGAGGATATGTAGAAGCAAGACTCGCAATCTTGTCAAGCATCCTAATAAAAAAATTATTTTTAGTCATTTTCTTTTTCCTTTCAAACTTTTAATAATTAGAATAAAACAAATAACATTAAGTTAACACTCTATTTGCAAAACAAACTAAATGATCCCCGTTGTGTACAATAGGTGTGAGATGTGCTAATATCTTCCCTTCGCATAACCGGCTCACAAACCCGAATTTGGTTGTGACGACCATTTTCTTTTTCTTTAAGGGTTTTATCGATATTTTGTCTTTCTTTATGGAATAAATAAACTTCGATGACGACTTTGTTATTTTTTCTGGTGTGTGAATGTTTAGGTATTTTTCCGCGCCGTGATAATGAGGGAGTATGTCGATTCTCGAAAAGGTGATTTTTGGCTCCCGGTCCCTTTCAGAGGTACTAAGAGTTGTTATCGGCATGGTGTTTGCTGTTAGCACCTACTGGATGTACCTTTTTTGGGAGGAGTTAAATTTTCTCCCCTGACGAAACCTTCGTCGATGTTGTTGGTGGTTTTCTTGGAAGTTTGCTTGAAAAACTTCGTCAGAAGATGATATGAGCAACCACAATTAAATGAAATGGGTGACCCATGTCAATTTTATCTGGGCTCTATGGTGGACGCCAATTATACTTGCTAAAAATACAATTGAGTAATAACCCATAGCGGATAATGGTTGTCATAGGCTTTAGAACTGTTATGATGTTGAAAGCAGACTCACATGAGGTGAGAAGCTACTATCTCTGTGTTGTTTCCCCTTAAACGTATTTATAGCTCTATAGGCCTGCAACCAAGTCTTCCTAAAATGTTGCAACCACTCCAGAAATGGATGGTTGATTCCCCAAAATCTAGGAAGAGTAATTAAATTCCATAACTTCCTATATAATGTTTATTCACCCAATACACATTTTACACATGTTCGCGCGTTATGGATGGAGTCATTAAAAGTCTAGGCAACATATCCAAAATGGAGATACTCAAACAAATAATGAAAAATTTGAAAGGACGATAGACTAAGCATATGAACCTCTCACCCCATTCTAATGTCTTTTCCAATCATATCATTACAATATATAATAATTTAGTGGCTTAAATAGTTAGTTGGTCCCTGTAAGTTAGCGAGTTTTTGATTTTGTTCACTGTAAGTTTTTTTTTTTGTCTGAGACTATATCTCACTTTTTGTGTTCGTTTTAGTCCCTAAAGACAAAACATGTAGAAAAATCCATAGGTTTCTTGCGCATTTTGTCTTTAGAGACTAAAACGCAGACAAAAAATGAGATATAAAAACTCAGACAAAAAATAAAATACAGGAGCTCAGACAAAAAAAAACTTACAAAAAATAAATTAAAAAATTCACTATCTTACCGAGACCAAAAATACATATAAGTCTAATTTAATATCAATTTTGTTCCAACAAAACAGAACACCTATTATTACTTAAAATATTTTTTAGCAGTCCATCTCATAAATTTATGGAATTGTGTTTATGCCCATTAAATGTAACACAAATGTTACAAATATTTATAAATAAATTATATATATTTATTTATTTTTAACAAAATATTATTTTTAATATATTAAATTAAAGATATAACTATTTATTATTGATGTATATTATTTTTACTTTTTTTATTTTAATTTTTATGTTTTATATCCTTTATCGTTGATAAATAAATACACATTTAATATATTTTTATTCTATTTATCATATCTATATTTTCTTAAAAAACATTAATGATATTTGTATTTTATTTTTAGCTTTTTTTATATATATTATATATCTTTTTTCTTTTATAAATCAATACACATTTAATATTTTTTTATTCTATTTATCATATCTAGTTTTTCTTTAAAAATATTAATGATATTTTATAATCTGTTTTAGAATAAAAAAGATTAATAAAAAGACAAGATAAAATAAAAAATAAAAATATCAAATAGAATAAATAGTGTTGAGATAGCGTATAAAATAAAAAAGATAGTGAAAATAAATTTCGGTGGTATTAAACCAGATAAAAAAAGACAAACAATTTTGAAAAAGAGAAAGAACTCACTAATATTATAAACAAAATTATTATAAAAGATCTTGAGATTAATAATTAAATAAAACATTATTATTGATAGAATACTATGTGATCATGTAATGAACCCAATCTAACTGGAAAAAGCTTAATTGCTCTTGAATCCATTTTGAAAAACTAATATATTTTTAATTTGATAAAAGAAGTTTTAAAAAACTGTTTTTTTTTTAATTTAATAAAAAAAGTCATAAATAACTAACATATTTTATAATCTTCTTAAAGTGACTGATTAATTTCAACTCAATAAAAAGGTATAAAATATTTAGCAATCCGTTTTAAAATAATAGATATATTTTTAATTTAATAAAAAATCATATAATAACTAACTACTTTCCCTTTTTGATACAATTCAAATTTTTTCAAATGTATCATTCAATTAATATTATTTGGAATACTTTTAATTTAATATTTTCTACTTTAAACTTATTATAGAAAGAAATACATTAAAATATAGTAGTAACATATAATAACAATACTTATTTCAATAGAGTGGTAATATTACTGTCAGGCAGTGATGAAGTGAGAATAGCACACGGGTTTGCTTTCTTTCTATCCCCAAACAGCCAATAGTTATAAATCTTCAATGTTACCTCATCTTCCTCTTCTCTTCCTAGCACAGTCTATCCAAATCTAATAGTACCGCTCACACCTCTCAATACTTGTTGAAATGTATCCATTTCATTTCCCAATTATAATATAATAGTTATAGTAAAATTAGTAAGTGACAAACGTGGCCTAACAATAGTTGCTTAATTTTGACTGTTATTTTTCTCCAATTATTATACTATTACTGTACACTGCTTCACGACACATGAAATGAATGAATCATAGCCCAATTTTACCGTGACATTTGTTACACACTAATGAGGTAATAAAAATATATAGAATTAAAAAATTTGGATTCAGACTAATGAGTCATACCCATACGCAGAATCTCTATCTAAAGAAAGTCCATAGAGAGAGAAACTCTGTCCATTCTCTCTCCTCCACTCTGTCCATTCTTTAACGCGTTCACGCGTATACTTGTCGCTTCCAAGGGAATCACCACTATATATAACAACCCTCTCCATTTCTCAAAAATCAGGTGCAGGAAATTTTCACATCTCCATTTTCAATTTACTTTACCTGCATCTGTTTTTCAATTTTCATATTTTCATTTTCTCCCTGAAAATCAAAATTTCTAATCAAGATCATCGATTGAATACCATTAATCTGGGAAAGAAGAAAATGCCGTCGTCATTGGAGGATGAACTCTTCCCATCAACCCCAGGGAAGTTCAAGATCGAGAGAAACCACGGCATGATGAACCGTCAAGTCTACCGTTGTTTCGCTTCCACCAGCACTATGTTCTTGTGGGCCCTTTTTCTCATCGCTCTAACCGCTTCTTATCTAAGTTTCCAAAGCTTCGTCGATTCCGGTAGCCGCTATATCTCCGCCTCATGGGGAGGAATCCAGTGGGAGAAACAAGTTCGAACCTCCGCACAAGTTCACCGGCAAGGTGGCATGTCGGTTCTCGTCACCGGCGCAGCAGGTTTCGTTGGGTCCCATGTCTCCCTCGCTTTGAAAAGAAGAGGAGACGGCGTCATTGGACTCGATAACTTCAACGACTATTACGATCCTTCGCTTAAAAAAGCTCGTAAAGCTCTTTTAACAAGCCACGGCGTTTTCATCGTGGAAGGTGATATAAACGACGCTAAGCTTTTAGCCAAGCTGTTTGATGTTGTGGCTTTCACTCATGTTATGCATCTCGCGGCTCAAGCCGGTGTTCGTTATGCTATGGAGAATCCTCACTCTTATGTTCACAGCAATATAGCCGGACTTGTCACGCTTCTCGAGGCTTGTAAAACGGCTAACCCTCAGCCGTCAGTTGTTTGGGCTTCGTCAAGCTCCGTTTACGGTTTAAACGAGAAATCTCCATTCTCCGAATCAGATCGGACCGATCAACCGGCGAGCCTGTACGCGGCGACGAAGAAAGCTGGTGAGGAAATTACTCACACCTACAATCACATCTACGGTCTCTCCATCACCGGATTACGGTTCTTCACCGTTTACGGTCCTTGGGGAAGACCTGACATGGCTTATTTCTCGTTCACCCGAAACATTCTCCAGGGAAAGCCTATAACCGTTTACCGCGGCAAGAATCATGTCGATCTGGCTCGTGATTTCACATACATTGATGATATCGTGAAAGGATGTATCGGATCGTTGGATACTTCAGGGAAGAGTACTGGTTCCGGTGGCAAGAAACGAGGACCAGCACCTTACCGGATTTTCAACCTCGGAAATACTTCTCCGGTGACGGTTCCGACGTTGGTGAGTATTTTGGAACGGCATTTGAAGGTGAAGGCCAAGAGGAATATTTTGGATATGCCTGGAAACGGCGACGTTCCGTTCACACATGCGAATATTAGTTCGGCCCGAAGAGAACTCGGGTATAAACCCACAACCGATTTACAAACCGGGTTGAAGAAATTCGTGAAATGGTATCTTTCGTACTACGGATATGGCAAACCTGTAAATTAATTTGTTTTTTTTAGTCGGTTAGAATTTTTAATTAAGATGGATGTAAAAATACTATACGGGAAGAAAAAAAAAAAGAAGAAAAGAAAGAATCCCGGTGAAGAAGAAAAGGGAGAGAAAGGAAAGAAGACAGAAAGAGGAAAGAAAGAAAGAAGAAAGAATCCAATTCTTTATTCTTTACTTCATATGAGGTTACAGCGAAATCATCATACAGCTGTTTTCCTTAGATTATTTCTTTTTCTTTTTTTTGTGTTATTTATTATTTTACTTTTTTTCTCATATGTAAAGAAAGTTCAAGTTCATTTTGTCTCTTTTAATGATATTTATTTTTTTATTATCTGATTCATTACAATCTTGTTGAAGTGTAATTTTAGGATAGTGTATTGATTACGAATGATTAGTTGAAATTAAAGGGAGTAATGTATGGTGGATTTTGAGTGAGGGAATTGAAAGGTGGAGCCAGCTAAGATGATAGTGATAAGTGGGATGTAAATTGTTAGTGATGGTATCCACGTCAGAGCAGTGAAGGTGCGGGACAGATAGTACTAATAGCCGTTGGATTTTGTGGGATTGCATAGATTTCTCCAGCTGTAAAGTACAGCTTGCCGACACACTTTATCAGTTTCATAGTAATAAAACAAAAATGGTATTACTACTGAAATTGTTTTTTTTTTTTATTGAAATGAATCTTTTGGTTGACAACAATTTCTAAATTGTTACAGTATTAATTTGTCATAAAAATGGACACGTTTTCATAGATGTTGTGCACGCAAAAAGTAAACTAGAATTCAATAGAGTAGGTTCAAGTTATGTTATTTTGTTTTTGGACCCGATAGCCTTTTTTTGGTAGTGATTTATACCACCCTATTAGTTTATTTTTGGAGAAAATTTAATTGTCTCAGAAAAAACAACAAAGCACCTTACAACTCCCTTAAAAAAGGTGCAGTAGTTCAATTCGTCGTGTCATCGTTGATGTTTTTGTAGGGTTGGAGTTGGGTCGGTCTGAATTTAAGCTCTGAGTCGATAATTTTTGTTTGCTCGGTTTTGTGTGGTGGAGCTTTCGGCGGTTTGGCGTACTGTAACTCATTGAAAAGCTCATTGGATCTTAAGCATGTGGTTTTTATGGGAGCGCTTGGAGGCTGAAGCATGGATTTTTTTTTCTCTAGTTAGGAATTGGAGGATGTAGCAGTTCTTTTTCCAATTGTTCAATCTGTGTTTTAGATCTTTCATTTTGTTCTTACTGTTATGTATTGGTGTACTACAGTGTAGATGACAAGAATATTAAGAACATTTTCTTTATCACTTATTTTTTTATTGGATAAAATACATCGGATCGTAGCACTTTATTTGAGAATTATTTTCAAAATGAGGGATTTATACGTGTTTGATCAAATAAAAAGTAAATGTTAGAAAGTGTTAAAACTAAAATGTTCATACACTCATGTAAGAAAAGGGACTCAAAAAGAAAATGTTCATACACTCATGTAAGAAAAGGGACTCACTTGTAGTGGTTAACAAATAATTTGTTGCTTTGTAATTCACTAATGAACAATTTTTAGAAGTCTAAGTTTTAAATATCAAGTGTTTTTTATCTCTTAGGCTACAAGATGACATAATCACAAATCACAATGATCATTCATTTAGACATTATAGACCATGGGTCATCGAAGGTGTAGAACGAGATCATTTAGACACTATAGACCATGGGTCATCGAAGGTGTAGAACGAAGTCATCGTCGAAGAATTTCTCGTTCCTTATCCTCCGATGATTATGAAGAAGAGAAATAAATCTCTTTCTCAAACGCTTTCAGCAAAAGGATCAACAAGTACTCCATCAAACAGGAATTCTTAAAGTAACTAAGGACAGGAACTTACAACGAGGCAACTAACCCAAACGAGCAATTTAATTGTTTAACGTTCTTCTGAATTTTTAAGGAGCAATGACCCCTTTAAGATCCATGTTATTTGTCCTCGTTCTAACGACATAAGGCATGTTTTGATTTAGAGGAATGAAGAACAGGTCAATTAGTTTGTGGAGTTTCTTCGTGCATTTCACGTTATTTCGGAGATATCTTAAATCAGTGGAAAGTTTAGATCTATCAAACAAGGAAAAGACGAGATATTGCAATCCTCGTGAAGAGTGTTAATGTCGAAATGAAGAAATACATATTGGGTCTTGGACTCCAACTAAGGCTCAAAATTCGCCGAGAGCATTAATAACTCATTATTTGTGAGATATTTAAGTATCTTATACTTCAAATTTATGTTAGATTAGAGAAGAAGCAATGTCATTTATTCATGTTTTATGTTACTTTAATTAAATTAGGATAGAGCACATTGGATGCTCTCTTTTTTCAGTTTTGTATGTTTTGTGTAACAGTGGCAAACGGACATGCCCGCCCCAGAAAATAGGATACGGTGAGACAAGCATTTTGTAAAGCGTGGGCTTAAAAAATTAGCCCACCTCTAAAAAAAATTAAGGTAAGGTGAAGGTGGGGAGGGGGTTGCACCTTTTTAGCCTTAAAATTTCCAAAACTTATGTTAATATATGTGCCCGCAAAAGCCATAAATAACACGAGGCAAGGTGGAACGGGCATACTAGAGGGCAGGGGCTAAAACTTTGGTCGGCCCCGTAAAAAAGTGAGGACAAACAGGGATGCCCTGCGGATCAGACCTACTTTGTCATCCCTAGTTTTTGTGTTTGTGCATAATTAGCTTTGGTGACAAATTATGTCACGATCAAACGAGATTTTACACTTCCAGTCTTTCACACTCTAAAGCTTCAAGTCTTCTTAATGACTATTTACATATCTCCAGGTTGATTACCTTCATATGGGGGTTGAGAGGTTAAACCACCAACCATATTTGAAATAGAAGTCTTCACTTGATATCCGTTTGAATACTATGTTGTCTTCTTAGAGATGACTTGATCTTCAACAACATTTTCAAAAGGATATTTTGATACTTAGGCTTCATCTTAATCAAGCAACATCACTTGAGTAATATACCAATAACCATCAGTCTATAAACAACTTGTCAAACACTGATGAGGACCTAACCAACATTAAGGCTAAGGCATGCAGGAGTTTCGATAACCATTTCTCCCTTCATCATAGATACACTAAGGCCTAGCTTTGTCACATAATCATCATAAATAAAGGAATGAGTAGCATCAGTATCAATAATAGCAATCAAAGGCGTATTATGAATATAACATGTACCTCTGATCAACCTGTCCTCACTAAAGTCTGAGTTCCTGACAGAGCGAACACTTTGCCTCCAGTTGTAGCTTGCTTTGGTTTCTGGCAATTAGTACTGATATGACCAGGTTCTCCACAATTGAATCAAATCACTACCTTCTCAATGCAATTAGCGACCAGATGTCTTGTCTTACCATACTTGTAGCACTTCTTCACATTGCTCTTACACTTATTGACGCGATGACCCATATCACCACATCTATAGCACTTAGGAATCGCATGAGCACCTCCCCCACTTGGCTTCTTGCCATCAGCATATCTTGATCTACCTTTATCAGCTAGAGCTGCATAAGGCTTTTCACAGTTTATTTGTTGTTTTCCTTTCCTCTCGGCTATCCCCTTATAGTGAGCCGATCGAGCCTTGCTATCCTCCTCATAGATCCTACAACAATCCACCAAATCTGGAAATCTCCTTATTCGTTGGTTCGCGATCTCCTATTTGATCTCAAGCCTAAAACCGTTCTCAAATTTGACACACTTCAAGAACTCAGCAGTTGCCTCACTGCAGTGAGGGTATAACTTAGCAAGTTCCACGAATCTGGTAGCATATTCCATAACCAACATGTTACCCTGTTTCAAATCCAGAAACTCAATCTCTTTCTTGCCTCGGACATCTTCAAAAAACTATCTCCTCAGGAATTCCCTACTAAACACAGCCCAAGTGATAACTTCCCCTGTAGCTCTCAACCGTTGACGGGTGCTGAACCACCAGTCCTTAGCTAGCATGTAAGTACCTAACCACAACTTTTATGCCTCAAAACAGTTGATTCGCTATCGCGCACGGATAAAAAATAGTATTTTTGAAAAAGTAGTAAAGCGACAATGACTCGAGTCGTATCTCAAGGATTCTTGTATTATTTCAACCAACTAAAGAAAAGGTTTATGGGGGTTTTAAGTTTTGATTAAGAAAATAGGGAAAAATAAGTGATTATAAAAAGTGATTATCAAAATAAGCTAAAATGGCTAATCCTACTTATTCGAATTTCGACTTATCATCAGCTATTATAACACCAATATATCCCTAAGTGGCTTCGATCATATTCGATTATGAGATTAATTAGACAAGCGCTTATCAAAATCAAACGAATTATGTGTTAGACGATGGCGCAGATTTAGAAGGGGGGTTGAATAGATCACTTGTTTAAAACAGAGTCGGCACTACCGAAAATTAGTTTTTAAAAATTGTTTAAGGCGGAAGCGGCCGAGGAACTATATTCGTCTAAAACGAACGGTTACCGAAAAACCGAATATGCATAAAGCCTATGGAATTCGATAAAACGAGATTTGAGAATCACTACTTTAATCATACTTCAATCAGATTTTGTTCACTACAAGGTGTGACTAGTTCCAATGCCTTTAAAATATAGACAATTTGAAAAGACAGCACAATTATTTTTAGTTCACACAATTGATCAAACACTTAGAGTGCAAGTCACTACAAGTGAATTCTATTTTGAGAGTAGTGTGCTAAAGTGTTCTATTACAATAATGATTGTAACAAGCTTGAAAAATAGTTCAACACAACTCAAATCAGAATTTGATTGACACAATCGCTTGCACTAATAACTCAGAAGTTTAGTAATATAAACGTAAAGAAAAAAGACAACGATTTGTTGAGGCAGTTCCTCCGTCGTCCTCGCTTGGGGTACATCTGCCCTCAATTCTAACAATAGAATTGAGACTTGTATATAGATAGATAAAACCTGTTGGTCAATGTTTATACAAGAAGCAAATAGAGATCAA